CAGCCTGCACTGAGAGAAAATATAAACAGATAATAAACCTACATCAAAATGAGTTCTATCTTAACTTCAAGGAAAGTCGTAGTATTTCTTCCTCTGCACTGCCATCCTGGCTGTGTCCTTTGGCTGGGCGTGAGTTATACGAATCCTTTTTATCTCGACTGTCGCCTGGCGTGCGTCGGGCGCATAAATCTTGTATAAGTTCGCTCCTTGGCAAGGAGTCAATATGCTAAATCAGCAGAATCCTTTCTCCCCTGTAAGGATTCGGCGAGGAAGGATGTTTGGACAGCTGCTAAGACATTTCAATAACGCTGTGGGCCGGAGCAGCGGTATCCGAAGGCGACAATGGTTCTTTGCTTGGCTGCTCCTCGGATTCTCCTGACCGATGTTTGTTGAATTTTAATCATTTGCGTGATGCATCCTCGAGTGGAGTGTGGCAGCTTCCAAGAACTTTATCGAGAGCGAGAGTGAATCGAAGGATGCCGAGGGTTGGAGGCTAGATTATGTTTGAGCTTGCAAGCCAAGTAAGTGCAAGGACCTCAGGGATGCGCCTGCACACTTTTCCCTTCAGCTCCCGCAGAAGAGTTATCCAAACAAACTGAGTGAGTGAATGCAAATCGACTGGATTTTCGCTGTAAGCAAGAATGAATGTGGTGTTACTAAGTTTAAAAGGTTTTAGTTTAGAAAAGTATAATTACCTTTTAAGCTTTACAAAAAACATCCATCGATCGAGGTACTTGATCCTGTTCCCTCGCTTGACTTCTTCAACCGGTTTGAAAGGATTTCCCGAGGGCTACGCCTGTCACTCCTAAATGGGCGCCCAGAGATTTATGGTGAGAACAGCAAACAAGCGGAGAAAGTGGCATATAATCGGAGTGAGAGGTTCGTGGTGTTCGTTTGAGTGAAAGACAAAGGAACTATCCGGACATAAATCATCTCCTGGCGGCAGGCGGCGAATGTCCTGCGGCGCTGGCTGCCGCCACTTGAAGTCAGAACCGGTTCAGTTTGGTTCGGTTCGGTTTGATAGAGGATCCTAAAGCGGATGGCAGGACACTCCGTGGCATTCATTTTCCAATTCTCATTTCCATTTCATGCCCATTGTCCCGGCTGGCTGGCGTTGCAAATTTGTCAGCGAACGAGGAGCAGGACAAATGTCAGCGCGATAAGCGTGCAGGCACTTTTATCTGAAGGATATGCGCAGGACGAATCACTCGCACGTCCCTGCAAAGGATATTTCACTACCAAATTGGCTGGCTATCTTTACTCACACCCTAAACAAAATATGGAAAAACACAACTATAGTCTATTGAAACGACTTGGAGATACCCAAGCCACATGCCCAAAGGATATCAGCAATATTGGCATAAAACTCCCTCAAAAATGTCTAAGAACGAAGCTATATCTTTCCAGAATCGAGTTATACCCCAGACTTACAGGGAACTCCATAACTTATAAAAAATGATATTCACAAAAAATGCAATAAAAATCATTGGCAAATTGGTTGAGAGGCATGAACAAAAGTTCGTCTCAGTTAGCCAAGATTGATAGTCGGTCCCCGAATGTCATGGACCATTTGTATGCCGGACACACCACCCCGAGAACTCCGCCCCCTTTTTCTGGTCATTCGAACGAATTGCGCTTAAATATTTGCGGCGCTTATCAAAAAATTTGCGGCCCATTGTCGAATGGGATTGATGCAATTTTAAATCCACAACGAACAAGGACATCTGCTCAAATATTAGCTTATGGAATTGTTTAAAATGCCAGGCACTAACCCATTCACTCTGGTCACGCTCGGAAAATACAAAATCTGGTTGGAAGTGGGTGGCAGGAAGAGGAGGAAGCCCGAGCGCAGCCTTTTGACAGTTGCCACAATTTATCATAATTCAATGCATGGCATGTCCTGTCAATCACTCGAATCGACATGGACATGGACATCGAAAGGGTGAACTCAGGCACACATTAGCCCAAGGCCAAGGGGTGGCTAAAGCCAATGGTTGTGGACATTTTTACAAGTGACTTATGAATTATTCTTTGTACTTGGTCTGGTCCATCGGCAAATCTCACACAGGAAACAAAAAGGTGTTAAAAGTGTTATTAAATACGATTAATTATGATTTACCTTTGGCACATCCAACTTTTTTGTACCTTAAATTGATTACTCAAAAAGATAAACTAAGTTTTCTTTCATATCTCATGATATTTGTTATAGTAATTTCTCTCTGTGCACTCTTCGTCTCGCTCAACTTCCTCTTTATGGTTGGCTTTTTGTGTTTTCAAATCAGATTAGCCCGTGGAAAGGGGTTAAGAGCACGGGGTTATCCTCAGTGGGAGGTGACTACATGAAAGGGTCAATAATGGGACTCCGAGACGAAGATGCCGACGTTTATCAAACGGAATATGCGATGCGGACGAACCATTAGACACTGGCCACTGATGGACAGGCGAGACGTGATCCCAGATACGGCTCATCAAGTGCATTGTCATGGGACAATAAAGGGTTAATCGGCTAACACAGGGATTGCCATATTATCTTCTTAGGAAGCTTATTTTATAGAAAGACAGCTCAAATTAGCCAAAAGTGTATCTTAGTATTAAGTGTAACAATCGAAAGCGGTATCAAATGATCTGCACTTTACTGAAATCTCTTGGGAAATAGGTAATCGGATAGGGCATACTTAAGTAAAGAATAGTTTTGCGTTCTTTGGAAAAACTGTGATATTCCACAGTAGTGTAAATGGGGTAAGGGTGAAAGTGGTCAAAAGTGTACCTTTTCAGATTCGAATGCAGATCAATTGGAAATTAGAAAACAAAACGAGCTATGACAGTCCATATTCAGATCATTATTCACCTAGTTATGGTCAAAATCGACAAAAACCAAGTTATGTACTTTTCATAAAAGGTAACATCACATCATTTTTTTTTTTTAGAAAAATTGTAAAAAATTATTAAGTTTTAAAGCAGCTTATCTCGATTTTTAATTTAAAATTCAGTGTTATATGCCATCTTCCGACAGTTATTGGCTTTGTTATTGGTAGGATTCTAATTATTTGGGCCGAAATTCACGATTATGAGTTTTGACAGATTCTTATCGATTATATACCTATAACTTGGTCAAAACAAGACGCAGAGCAAAAATAAAGACTGTTTTGAGCAACTAAAGACCAAAACTTTCTACCCCCATCATTAGATTGACGATTTGAAACAATTTTTATTTTGGCCAAATTTTCAATTTTTTGTAAGGGGTACCATCATCAAAACTTGCGAAAAATGTCCAAAAATGAAGTTTTCCAGATTTGAATGCAAATTAATTGGGGATCATAGCAATCAAAATACGAGCCGTACGAGGTATTACATTCCATATTCTGATAATTTTTGGCTGTGCTATGGCTGTCCAAAGCCAAGAATACGTCTTTTGCCAGCAGAGGGCTCGGTTTTTTGCGGTTTCTTAGCTCTAACTTTGTCAAAACAAGACGTACGGCTAAAACATTGACTGTTTTACGCTGCTACCAACCAAAACTTTAAACCCCTATACTTGCTTTTTGTGTTATTCTTCTTATTTGTGACTGCGAGTGCCGATTTAATGGCTAAGAAAGCTGGAAACCCATTTTTAACAGAAATTTGCAACACTATGTTAGGCTCTTCAGCTCTAGCTCGGCCAAAACAAGACGCACAGCTGAAAGAACAACTGTTTTGTGCTGCTAACGACCAAAACTAAGCACCCCTATCACTCGATTTTCGAATTTGGGAAAATCAATTTTTGCCCAAATTTCGCATTTTTGATAAGGGGTACCATTATCAAAATTCTCGAAAAATGGCCGAAAATTAAGTTTTCCAGATTTGAGTGCAAACCGATTGGGAATCATAGCTATCAAATTACAAGCCCTACGAGGTATTACATTCCTGTTTTGGACCATTTTTGGCTGTGCTATGGACAAAAAACTCATTTTTTGGGGCCCAAAGTCAAATATACGTCTTTTAGAGCCAAGATTCTTGCCGTTTCTTAGCTCTAACTTTGTCAAAACAAGAAGCATAGCTAAAACAGTGACTATTTTATGCAGTTAACAACAAAAACTTTAAGCCCCTATACATGCTTTTTGTGTTATTCTTCTTATTTGTGGCTGCGAGTGCCGATTTAATGGCTAAAAAAGCTGGAAACCCATTTTTAACATAAATTTGCAATACTATGTTAGGCACTTTAGCTCTAGCTCGGCCAAAACAAGACGCACAGCTGAAAGAACAACTTTTTTGTGCTGCTAACGACCAACACTTATCACCCCTATCACCAGTTTTTCGATTTTGAAAAAAATAATTTTTGACAAAATTTCGTATTTTTGTAAGGGGTAACATCATCAAAATTTGCGAAAAATGTCGAAAATTGAAGTTTCCCAGATTTGAATGCAAATCAATTGGGGATCATAGCAATCAAATTACGAGCCGTTCGAGATATGACATTCCATATTTGGACCATTATTAGCCAAGTTATGGAAACAATAATGTCGGACTGAGGGGAAAATAAGGGTAAACCAAATTTCGCAGTTTCAACAGGGGAACATCATAAAAATTTGCGAAAAATGGCGAGAAATTGACATTTTCAACTGTGAATGCAGATTTGTTAGGAATTAAAAAACAAGCTCAACGAAATATGACTTTTCATATTCGGACAATTATTGGTTTTGTTATGGATGAATTATAAATTATGAATTTTGAATTTTTTATAAGGGGTAATATCACAATTTTCCCAACACCTTATATGAAAATAAGTTATCAGATGTTATTTTTAATCGTTTAGAACTCGTTTTCGGGGTTCAAAAAGGTACGAGTCATCATTATTGAACCCGATTTATGGCTTCTTTCCGGGGTGGCTTTTCGACCAAAATTTAATACAAATACGACATTGTTCAATTATTATGTCGACTCGTTTATTACAAATCCCGCCATAATAAATAATTATCTTCCGTTAGTCATCTTAAAAAATAATGAATAAAAGACGCATATCGTTATTCCTTTATTACACATATATTGTTTATTTATTTAATATTTTGCTCGTCTAATTGACAGAAAAGTATAAAGACATAGGATGTATTGAATGGGTTGTGCTTGAGTGTCTTTCTATGCGGATGAGCGATTCCACTTAAGGCTAGGCGAAATCTCAGCGATTGCGTAATGCGGAGCCCCCTCCCGAGGTGTACGGTAAATCAGAACTCAAAGAACTTGAATTTATAAGACTCCTCGCGTGCGTTGATAAGAAAGAACAGACGTGGAATTTTGATGTGCTGGTTTGAGGATCGCAGTCGAACGGATAATTTATTGGCCAGTCGTTGACTTGGTTGGTGGTGATTTCATAGCGGACCCTCGGGGAAGGCTCTCTCGGCTAACAGATAACAACAGAACACTTTATGAACTCGACTGGCTGATAAAATTTTGATGCGTGACTGGGCTGCTCCACTTGATGGTGATCTCCACCTCCTTACAGGAGGGTCTTGTCGAACAGGAACTCGCCCAATTCGCCGTTGGTGTCCATCATCTTCTTGAGGGTGGTCAGCTTGCCGGCAATCTCGCGCTGTCCATGGAGCTGCTCCTCCAAGTAGACACCAGTCAGGTAGTCCACCAAGTGGTAGTGGTTGTAGGGCTTGCCCTCGCAGGTCTGGATCAGCTTACGGATGGACCGGGTGACCTTGATCTCCAGGTCGAGGGCATCAGACAGAGCGCTGGCGCCATCGGTCCACTCCTGCTTGGCCACAGTCTGCGGAGGATTGTCCAGGATTAGCTTGCTTTCAGATTGGGAGTTAGGAGAGTGTAGACTTACCGGAACGTTGATCAGATCGCTGACTCCCTCGGTCAGTTGACCGCGCATGGAAAGGTACTCAACCAACTTGGAACCGTGCTCACGCTCCTCCTTTGCGGCCTTGAAGAAAGTCTCGGCAAAACCAGGGCGGTTGACGGTGTCGCGGGAGAAGTAGGCGCCCATGGCCAAGTACTGGTAGGAGGCGTTGATCTCCTCCTGGATCTGGTGGCGCATGCCCTTCAAGCAGGCATCCTTCATGTCCACCCAATCCTTGGTGATCTCCGGCACGGCCAACGAGCCTGGAAAGAAATTCGGATGGTTTAAGTCGGGGGTAAAATCAAATTAAAGAGCAAGATTAAGTCGAATTAATCTAGCTAACAAAGCAATAAGTAAATTACAGCTTTTTAATTTATAGAAAATTCGACTTTTATAAGCGTAACTTTAATAGAAACCTTTGCACCCCTGATCTTGACCTTCACCGTGGTTCGGATTTTGTATTGTTTTCTGTTTCAGTTCTTCTCTTTCTTTCTGCAGCTCTTTTACGAAACTCTTGCTTTCAGGCTTGGCTAAGGGAGAGGGGGCTGTGGGGTGGTTACTATTTTTAAGGGGGGCGTAATTACAGAAAACTTTGAAACTGCGCTTGGTATGCCGTTATTCTAGGGCAAAAGAACCGTGTGCAAAACTGCAATGGCTTACTCTCTTACTCACTCTCTTCTTGTAATTGCATTGGTAACGTGCGCACTTCTCTCCGCCATAGTAACGGTATTTGTTTTGATGTAGTGTCGTGTGCAAAAGCATGCTTTTGGTTAGCCACCTCGCTCGCACATCACAAGCCGTGTGCAAAGAGAGCTTGAAATTGGAATTGTATTGGAAATGTAAAAACAACAACGGAGGTCAAGCTCATTTAGATGTTTTATTCACGAAAATGAAAGCGAAATTCGCACGTTTGAATTATGGAAACTGAATATTTAAAACTGGTTTGCATTTCTTTTAAAAACGTTACGGAAGTATCGATAATTAAAAAATAAACAACTGGTTTGGTTACTCCAGTAAAAAAGAGAACGAAGAGCGGCTAAGAGAAACAGCGCATGCTCTCTTCAACTCCAGCATTACAGTTGATTTTTTCACTCTTTGCCTATTGCGTCGAAATTTATTATTTTTTCCGCAGTACTGCCTTTGTTTTGTTTGAATATCCGCTAAATAATCTTTAATTATAGTACTCACATTTGAAATCTCCATAGGCCTGGGCCACCACGGCCAAGAGGAGAAGGCTAGCGATTAATTTCACCATCTTTGTTCGTCGAAATGGAAGAAGTCTTTAGCACGAAATCACAGAACAAATTTGTTGACACTTTTAGTTTGTTTTGCTTGAAATGCACAAATGAGAATGAGGCGACTTGAGTTGGGGTACAATTTTAAATAGGGCCTCGCTCTTTGCCGATTGATTGAAAATCTAGCTGCCTTTACACACACTGGCGCAGAAGGCGTCGCCTGCTTCAATTTGATGGGCTTTGATTGGGATTATTTTGATTTCTCGAATGGTTTCGTTTCCAGTACCTTCTGCTTGACAGCCGTAATCTGATTTTTCAGTAGAGCTAATGCCTATGCTTTGTGTTTATAGCGAACTCGAAAGCGAACTGTCGCTCCAAACGGCGGACAAAACACTTTTAAGCGCTCTCGCTCTCGACTTTTCTCTCTGTGTGGGTTTGTGTGCGAGTGTGAGTGATGGAGAGTGTGCACTGCTATCTTTCCAACATGTCGTCTTTCTTTGTTAACCGTTTAAATGGCTGATAATTGAATATTCCCGAAGATAGACGCACTTAATTTCATACACACGTCCTCAATATGGACTATACTTTGCAGGGATTGTCGGGTTTCCTAGTAAGATAATCCTCATGTACAAAAGAACAATCATGCAAATGCAATATGGCTGCTCTTTTGCGCTCTGCGTCAGCTGTTTTTTGTTTTTGTTTTGGTCGTGTAAAAGCAACACGTCATGGGTTGCCAGGCGGTTTAATTTTCGCTTGACAATTTAAGTCTTATTTTGTGAAGTTGATTTGTCACGTTCGGCGAGGGGATCAATCAGTAACTTTGATAGCTACTAAATATGGCGACGGCTTTTTTGAGGTGTCGCTTGCAGAACTCTGTGAATGACAGTTGATAAGGGGGATAAACTCTGGGAAACTATAGAGATTTTATATAACTTGCCTATTGGAGAAACCCTATAGGGCAAATAAAATTTAATTTTAAGACAAATTCATACCCAATTAAGCTATGATTTATTTTCAGAAATGAATATAATTTAAATAGGTAAAAACCATTTATACAAATAATTAAGCTTTTACACATTTTTTTATGAGTCGAACATTAAAAGGCAATTCGTGCATAGGAAGGGAACACGCATGAAAAGAACGTTAAGATTATAAGCAAAAGGTCGCCAAGCTATTAATTCTGTATATATTATAATATATCTAAGTAATACATCTTTTAAATCATATCAAATGTTAACCAATAAATCTCAACTTTCTTATAAATATTTTCAAGAAGCCACTTGAAATCCAAAGTGCAGTGTCCACCTTTTGCACACGCTGACAACCCTGCCGTGAGTCACTATCCAGAAGGCAACAAAAACAACACCACCGCGGCCATGTTTGAATGACAACGAAATCCCCGCACTGAGCGCAAAATAACAAATGCCCATGCACTCTCTCCAGAAACACACATACACAGCCTTATCGATCGAATAGAAAGAGTCGAACGCGACGCTATAAACAGCAGTTGATTTTCAGAGTTCCAACAAGCAGCACACAAAAGCAGCGTCTAAAAAGTTATTAACGCATTGCAGACACTTGAAGTGAGTTTAAACAATTACTAGCTAGTTAGTGAGTGTGTGGTAAAAAGAATCAGCGAGTATATTGCTGGAAAACGTAATATAAACCACAGAAAAACATTGAAAAACAAAAACATTCCATTGGTGGTGGTTTTGTTTTGATGAAAAACGCAAGAGAGAACATTCAAGAAAACTCTACGACGCAAATGGGCGATTTCCACATCAAACGAAAATAAAAGTGGCTGTTTTTCCAATTGTCAAATATTGTGAAACTAATTTCCATTGTTTTCGCATTTCAATTTTGATTTTAATTTACAGTAATCAGGCATTAAGATGAAACTTTTCGTTGCACTCGCTCTCTTTGCGTGCCTCGGCTCCGTGGCCCTGGCCAACAACGAAGAGTACTGCCAGAACACCGTAATCACCGCCTGCTCTTCGTCGGCCTTCTCGGGTGAGTAAAAGGAAAGAGTGCCTCTTACAGAGAGAGCATAGATGAAGAGAACCTAATCTGTGTCTGTGTGTTGTTGCTTTTTGTATATTTGTGAAATAATAATAATAATAAAAACAAGCGCTCACGGGCTTTTTCACAGGCAAAAGTAAGTGAGAAATACATTAGATGTTATAAAAGTTAATTATTCTAAATTTCTTGCACTTTTAAGTTTGAGTTCAACAAACTTCTGAGATAAATTTCAATTTCTTATTGGTCAACAATAGTTGAAAACCTTTCTTATGTTACCATAATGTCTTTGTTTCTTTATAGAACAATATTAAATTTAAAAACTAAAAGCCAAGTTAGATTTTACACATGTACTTTACTACTTACTTACCTATTAGAAACCATTAAAACCTTATCTTCACTTTATAAAGGCGGCCTTCTAAATGTTATTTTCCTCCACTCAGATAGTCAGACTGTAATGTTTACTATTCTCTTTCCTTTCCATTAGGCAACTCCATCTGTAATGCCCGTTATGCCGGCATTGACCATGTGGAGCCCGAGATTCAATCCTACATCAACGCCCAGTTGGCAAAGTCGTACGACTACCTGCTCCTGGCCACCCACTTCAACTCGTACCAGAAGAACCGCCCCGGCTTCCAGAAGCTGTACCAGGGTCTCTCTGACCGCTCCTTCGATGACAGCATTGCCCTGATCAAGCAGGTGACCCGCCGTGGTGGAGTCGTGGACTTCAACACCCGTCACGAGTCATCTGGCTCTGTGAGCACCAAGCGAGGCACTTTGGAGGTCGATGAACTGCACTCCCTGGCTCTGGCTTTGGACACTGAGAAGCAGCTGGCTGTTGGCGCCACCCACGTGCACTCTCGTGCCACTCACGCCGCCGATGCCGAGCGCGATCCCGAGCTGGCCCACTACATCGAGGAGAACTTCCTGGGCAAGCAGGCCGAGACCGTGCGCAAGCTGTCCGGCTATGCCAACGACCTCGCCAAGCTGATGAAGGTTCCGGACCCATCTCTGTCCGTCTACCTGTTCGACGAGTACCTGCAGAAGCAGTAAAGAGTGGAGAGAACAACATTCTCCTCTTCCTCCCAACACTCCTACACTATTCCCTCAAAATTGCTCTCATAAATCCCTTATAAATTAATTTGTTTCCTTGGTTTGTTCATCAATAAATCGCAGTGCATCAGCAGCATTATCAAAGCAGCCAAAAATGAATGATTTACGCCCAGAATCACCTTGATTTACCAGCACATCAGATTGTGATAATGTTATCATAAATAAGTTAGCAAGTTCGCCCCAGCAATGTATCTTTAGCATGTACGTTACCGCTTGAACAAATAAACACAACAAAGTAACTAAATATCAACTAGTAAAACAGCAGATTGTTTGCCTCTCCGATAAGGTTTGGGTTTTCGAAATGGATCTGCTTTTGGTTCTAGAGGCGGTCCTCAATGTGGGGCGTCTGTTTGCGCTTCTCTTCTCCGAGTGCTGATAGCAGACCAACTGGCAGTGTACTTTGGATACCGCCATGGAACAATGGAACTTACAATCGCGAAATTACTCGACTATTACCACGCTCTGCGATTACAAGGGGCTGTAAAGTTCCAGAACGCTACCGTTTGGGATTTAGATTTTTAAGGGCTTTTTAAACTGAAGACCAATGGGATGCTTCTATAAATAAATGTCACTTCTCTTCCAAGAAACAGATAATCTTCTGTAAACAAAACTTATACTCCATTATAGAGACAGAAATGGCTTAGTATTTTTGAAGATTAGTCTTGTCTGTGAATCATATTATATGGAATGAAAATGAAAATGAAAAAACTGCCTGGAAACTGCTGACTTTGAATCATGTTCTACGACTGTTGGCAATAAAAAATAAAAAGGGGTTTTCCAAAAAGAGTCTAGGCTAACCAAAGATCTCTCATTTTTGAATAATTTATGATTATACCATTTGACAACCCAAATCGCTGGTAAAAAGTGACAAATCATTCAAACCGTTAAGTAATCTTCCTGGGATCTCAGAGGCTGAAAGGAGCCCGACTATCTTATCAGAGACACACTCCTCCTCTGGCTGATAAAGTTAGGCCACGTTTATTCAATTGGTTGCCATTCCCCGAAAGATTCTCTCTTTCCCTCTTATCACTGGCTGGTGCACACGGCTTTGCGTTTGCCTCCGGAAAGGTTCCGCCGGAATGGGGGTCTGGCGCCATCTTGGACGCCTGCTGACTAAGTCGGAACCTCCGAGATGACGTGGATGTCAACTGGTTACGTAAGGCAGCGATGCAATCTCGGACTATTATTGTCCCCTGAATTTGCATCGCAGTTTCCTTATCGCCCTTTTCCCACTCCTCTCTTCCCTGACCTACTGTATTTGTGTAAATAAATAAAATCCGTTTTAGTGTCAACTGATCTGGAATCTATATAGCAAATATATAGCATTTTGCAGCTCTGTTTATTAAAGCAGACTTGAACTAGATTTCAGACAGCAATAGTGGAAAAGTTAGAACTAACAAATCTTTAATCAACGTGGGAAATGCGAATTAAAAACTACTTTTACTACCTTTAGAAAGCGTTTTTTCTTTAATCACATTCTAGAACATTCTGGAGTAGCTATTATATGTGACTATGGATATAGATCCCAGCCACGCATCAGGGCAATTTATCAATTAGCGACGCCCATTCAATGAGGACTATGCTCATATAGCCGCACATCCGGATACGGTCCACTAGCACGTGAAATGAACGTCAATTTGCCATTTTAATGCTGCTATAACTACTGTAGTGGGTGTGGTGGGGCATAACAGGCTAGGGGTTAGGGTTTAGGGGTTAGGGGTCAGGGGTCATCAAATCGCAGCATCCGTATCTGTGGCATTAAGCGAATCCGTGTAATAACTGCGTGCTCTCGTGTAATTAGAATATGACAACCATAAGAGAAAACTCCATTCGGGATCATAACAGTTAGGACAAAATGAGATTGAAGTTGATGTGGTTATGGTTGGGGTTGTGGTTGGGGTTGGGGTTGGTGTGCCTCAAAGTGGTTCCTCAGTGTCTCCGAGTGCGTGCAGCGGTCATTAAATAATAATCCACTTAATATTAATTGCCCTGATTTGCGGATGGATGCTGCCTCAATGATTTTCGTAATGCCATCGAAGTACACAAGGAGAAAAGTAGAAGACTTCCACTAGCTATAAGCTGTCTATGAGGGATTACAACTATCTTGCTAACTACAAAAACTAACATTTTATATTCACTGATCAATATTTCATTATAATTACCATTTTGAAGCCACACTAATAGTATTTTCCCTGTGTAAATACCCATAAACTACGCGAAGGAGGGTGGCTAATTGCGGTCATTTGTGGTGCATTTGGCGTGGATCTTAACTTCGTCATTTGTAATTGTTTGGCCATAAGCCATCGGGCAATTTGTGAGGGCCAAACTGGTTTTTGGTAACGATTCCACACATGCCCTAAATGGCGCCATAAAAAGGTGTCTTTGGCCCAAAATAATTCTATTAATTTATGCATTTTAATAAAAGCTTTGAGCAATTACAAAGGGTTGAGTCTGAGGCTGCCACGAGGGCAGGGGTTAAAAACTATTCGGGAGGCCAGATGTTGTCAAAGGATTCGGGATATTTCGGTTATTGTTCGCCAGCCAGACAACTATGAATATGAGACCACACACACACACATGTGGTTGAGTGTGTGTGCGTGTCCAGGACATGCGGGACACACATAATATGTATGCAAAATAGCAATTTAATTTCGTTTTATTGCAATGCCATTTGCAGCCAGTGAAAGGCAGCTGCGCCGACAGCTTCCGCCAGGCTCCCCATAAATAATCCTTGAATCCACCCACCTTATAAGCCCCTCTCCAGCTCGCTTTCAACCCACTCCTCCCACTCCGGCTGTGCAATTTTAATGAAAAGTCTTGTCTCCTGGACTTTTGTTTTCGCCATGTTTTCGGTGGCAAGGCAGACAGGCCAAGAAGCGAAATTGTTTGCCATGTTTCATTAACAAATTTTTGCAGAGCGGGGGGCGGCCTGAATAAGCATTCTTATCGCAACGTAAATATTGCAACAGGACTTTAACGGAAAACTTGTGGAAGTTGTACTCAGATTTACTATTAAATGCTCTTTCTTACAGCTTAAAGGCTTTCAATTCTCATTTGTCTGTCAGCTTTTATTAATTTGCTATTGATTACTTTGCTGTTTCTGCCCGCTATCTAATCGTAGGTATTTTTATATATGCAGTTAGATAGATCGATAGATAGACTTGATAGGTTCGAAAAGAAGCTAGGTATTTATACATTTATGCACACGGCTTAGTATAAAGTACTGAAATTGTGTTTACATTTCTTTATTAAAAAGCCTATAATAAGTATTTTAATAGATAGATTGCTGAAACAGAAAGCTGTGTGGATTTCTACTTGCTTTTATAAAAGTCAGAAAGTTTTTACTGAGATTACAGTATGCCATCTGATCGAAAATATTATTTATTTGCCATTCTACTTTCTTTTATAAAAAGACGTTATCGTTATCGTTAAAATGTTAGCTAATAAGTTAATTCAGTAATAAAGAAAGACAAACTTCATTCTGAATAAAAGTTTTTAAGGTAATTTACTGTAACTTTGTCTTCAAGTAATCTTCTCTAACTGAAATCTTCTTTTACTTTCTGACCAAATCACTTTCTCTTAAAAATATAAACATAAAGGTTTACCCGATTAGTCTATTGTGCAATATATATAGCAATTTGCATAAAGCTCCCTGAGCAATTTGTTCAATCATCTCGAAAAGGGGGAATTTTCCTAGGGGACTTTGGTATTAGCCAGGCAATTGAGCGGTGAGGTAAGAGGTTTACAGGCAAACCAATATGGCAGAAATACGGGGATTGACTAATGGATTTCCATGTGGAAATTCGCGATAAGAGAATCGCTGATAAGCGAGCGTTTTAAGCCCTTTGTTGATGTTTTCCCCTGTTGCTAAATAATGCAATTTTTCGCAATTTCGCTGAGGTTTTCACAAGGGAATGGGATATGTATACTCGTCTATATATAAGGAAGAGCAACCTGATCCCGATCCACAGCCACCCCTTGGACTTATTTTGTTGATTTTTCAGCTGCTCAATTTGCATGCGTTCACTTTTCAAGGTCAGTGGGTAAAAACAAGTTGGAAAAAAGTTCGCAAGTCGCATGAGGCATAAGGCACCCCATCTGGAAGCTGGAATTTCGAAGAGCCACCCCGATTTAGTGACCAAGGGGTTGCTACCGTAATTGTTATTTTAATACCCTCGATGTGGGCATTAGAAGGATTTTAAATATTTAAAAATTAACATTTAAATACTCTATTCTTGTTAGTATTAATAAGCATTTGGGATATTGCAAAGGAGTTTTGAAAAAAGATAGTAATTCTCAATTCGAGATTTTTGTATTGTTATAAAAACTGATAATAACTTTTAAGCCAGGAAATCAGAAGGTTTTTCATAAGATCTCATTAGGATTATATTCGATCGACTATCCGGCAGAGTATCTCAAAGTTCGTATTCGGAAGCTTCCTTGTTTTCCCTTTTGTTTTTCCGCTCCTTGGGCCTTACTGACGCGAGTCCTCGAGCGGAAATGGTCAGAAATGACATGTGGCCAGTGATTTGCATACGCACACGCACATTTGGCAAACTCCTTGCCCTGTCCACAGCCGAAAATCAAACGGAATACAACTCTTGGCAGCTGCTCCCCTCTCCGTTTCCGATTTGCTGAATAATGCGTGAGTCAGGCACGCGCAGAGCTAGAAAGCTGGGGGGCGACTGTACTTTGCGGCGCCACCCCTGAGGGTTGCAAAACACTCGAACAGCCCACAAACTTCGCAATGAGCGTAAATTCTGATTCAGTTTCTGGCTCCGGCCTGGGCTTCTTCAAATATTTATGGCGAATTTTCTGCCCTGGCACTAAATTAAAATTCAATAAATCATAATTTGCTCTGATTTGTCTGCTCGAATTGCACTTGGCTGTGTATCTCTTTCCGATATTTGGGCTGCTTTCATTGTTTCACTGCAGTCTCGGGCAAAAGTTTATCAAAATTTCATTAATGTCTGCGTTTTTGTTTAAGTTTTGGCTTTCCATTTTGGCAATTATTCCGCCCAAGGAGGGAGACAGATGAGGTTTAAGTAGAGAAAGAGAGAGAGAGAGCCAGAAAAAGTTTCCCTGAAGAGGCGGACAAACTTTCAATGTGCAATTTTTCCGGTCGAAAGTTTTCACTAGTTTGATTAGATTTCCCACCCAAGCCCGACTGACTTCCAGTCCAGTCAGCACAATAATTTAACTTTGGTTTTTCCGATTTGGCTGTTGCACTTTGTGTGTTTGAGTGAAACCTAACCTCAC